CGCGTCGGCGGCCGAAGCCCAGCCCCGATGCAGGCGCGTGCAACTACGCGAAGGCAGGCTTAGGTCGGGCATGTCACCCTACAGGCCGATGTTGGACGAAAATAAACATACAAAAAATACGCAAAAAGCATCCGAACATAATCCAACAAAAATCGTCCCCGGACTGTTGTGTGGCAATTTCTGAGTATTCCCCCTTTAGAGGGACAGGCCCGGCTTCAAGGTGGGCCCGGCCTCGAGACCGTGGCGTGGGCATCGGGAGGTGGCTCGGAAGGACGCGCGCGCGCGCCCTGGAATACTTTCGGCAAGGCACTGCAGATGGCGTGCCTCTCTGGGCCCTCCACAGGCGTGCGCGAAAACTTTCGAAAACGTTCCTAGACGTTGCAGTCCAAGGGCAAGCAGACCTGAGACTTCTTGCCATGCGCCGAAGGGACCCCGACGACGGAAAGCGCTCCTCGGCCCTTGGGCTTCTCCGGAGCATTGCAGCAGCCCCTGAACCTTGCAACCTTCACCAAGGGCTTCCAGGAAGGCCCAGAGTGCCAGGCGCGGATTTATCCACATCCACCGCCCAGGAACCGACGTCCTGGGGACCCAGCGGCCAGTGGATATGGATACATTTTGGCCCCGGGGGCCCGAATATGTCCATATGCAGCGCCTGTGGAGGTCCGCGGAAATCGATTCTCCAGGCTGTGGACATGTATGAATACCCGCCTCGGACAGAGTGCGGGAGGGAGGGAGGAAAATGGAAATGGAAATGATAAGTTCGCGAAGCGAACCGTATCATGGAGGCTCTCCTCATAGGAGGCCCGAGCGCCACGTGGAAGATCGAAGGTCCCCTCCTTTTCTTCCTCCCCCATTCCTTGCCCTTATGAATAACTCCTCCCTGTCGCACCCCGAGGCGCCTCGGTAGGGCGGGCCCGGCGTTTCGCCTGAGACTTCCTCACCATGTCTGGATCCTTGGCATGAGCGTTTGCAGGCGTTTTGCGGATGGATGGCGGGCTGTTTTCAAAATGTGGCCCTCGCCTGTGCGTCGCGCACAGTCGTCTCACAAAATAGCAGGAGCATCACGGAACGAGGGCGGACCGTTTCCAGAATGTGGCTCTCGCCTGTGCGCCGCGCACGTTCGTCGCACAAACTTTCAAGAGTTTTGCGGAACGAGGGCGGGCCGTTTTCAAAACGTGGTTCTCGCCTGTGCGTCGCGCACATTTCGCGTAAAAGTGTGCAAGGGTTTCACGGATGGCGCGCGGGTCAACTTCAAAACGTGGCTCTCGCATGAGCGCCGCGCGCAGTCGTCTTAACAAATGCAAAAGGGTTTCACAGAAGGAGGGCGTGCCGTTTTCTAAAGGTAGCTTTCGCCTCAGAGCCGCGCACATTCGTCCTCAACATTTGCAAGAGATTCGCAGATGGATGGCGGCTCGCTTTCAAAATGTGGCTCTCGCCTGAGCGCCGCGCGCATTCTTTCTATGAGTTTACAATCAAAATGAGGTTGTGGTGGTCAACGTTCCAGTCGCGGCGTTTTGGAACGATGTCGGACTGTCAGAGAGCAACCGATTTGCGGTCTAGATGTCCCAATTATGGTGTTCTGACACGATTCAGGACCGTCAAGACGCAGCAGAAACAATGATTTGCGGCGTGGAAGTCCCAGGGATAGTGTTTTGGCACAGTTCAGGATTCACAAACGGTTGTCTTCAAACGGGGCATTTCCCCCAGTGACAAGAATCCTTGCGAGGCCTTATGAAAAGGGAACTTGGAGAGAGTGTTGGTTGCGATACCTTTGACGAGTCTTGGGTTTACGCTGGTCCTCCTCCTCCTCGCCCTCCTCCTCTCCCTCTCCCTCTTCCCCCTCGTCCTCCTCCTCGCTCCTCCTCATCCTTCCCTTCCGCATCCTCCTCCTCCTCGTCCTCGTCCTCCTCCTCGCCCCTTCGCTCGGGACACCTCTGGCTCGCGGCCCACGGGGAGACTACGGGAGAGACTGGTCGGGGTGAGGCCGTGGGGAGCCCTCGGCACGGGCAAAGGGCGAGAGAGAGGCGACGTACTCGCAACCCCCCCGCGCTGCAGGGCTGCCTCCGGGCCGCCACGTCGTAGACCGGGGAGCAGCGCAGGCAAAGACCCGCCAGGGCAGCCCCAGCTAAAAAAACAAAGGAATGGCTCTCGCGGCAGCGGCGCTGAGTTAAAGCATCACACGTTCTCTGTCGCATGACAACTTAGGGGGCCGACCCCCCCCCCACATTAAGCACCCTGGCAAGCGAAGCCGTTTTGTAAACGCAGCGAGAGAAGAAATCGAACGGGGCACGGCTGTGTAGTAAACGCCCAGGGCCCCTTAGTGAACGCCAATTATCGGGGTCGGAGTGGTTTTTCCTCCTTTGACTCATGACAGCTGGCAGTCATAATGCAGGCCAGCGTGAACACCAAACAGGAAGTAAATTCACTGTGGATGTGCAAGCTACGTGGTGCAAGCTCTGTGGTGCGGTACACGTGGTGCAAGCCAGGGGCGGCCAAGGGGCAGCCAAGGGTGGCAACGTGGCGAAACCTCGCCAGACCCACCCAGAGCACGGGGCGGCCACGAGGCAGCCACGGACAGCACCGTGGCGAAACCTCGCCAGACCCACCCAGCGCACGAGGCAGCCACGAGGCGGCATTTCGCGGACCCGCTTAGCGTATACAAGACGGCCGCAGGGCGACAACCGGCGGCGACGTGGGGATTCCTCGCCGGAACAGTTCAATCCGACCAACCCTGTGCGGAGGTGGTTTAACAAGTCTCCTCTTCCAACCTCCCCACTTCCCTTCTGGGGACGGGGTTGCCCAAGAGCGCCCCTAAGAGGGCTCCATGAGGAGACGTTTCGAGCCCAGGAGAGGCAACCCTAGTCCGCGCCGCCCACTCTTCCCCCAACATCCTCATCATCTGTCACATCCTCTTCCTCCTCCTCCTCCTCCTGCTCCTCCTCCTGCTCCTCCTCCCACGTAGGATTGACCACGAGTTCAGTGAGAACGTGCTTCATTGAACTAATCTTCCTCGTGCCCGCCTCCCTCCTCCTCCTCCTCCTCCTCCTCCGCCTCCTCCTCCTCCTCCTCCTCCTCCTCCTCCTCCTCCTCATCATCATCATCATCATCATCATCATCATCAGCATCATCATCATCATCATCATCATCACCACCACCACCACCACCACCACCATCATCATCATCATCATCATCATCATCATCGTCCTTCTCCTCCTTATCCACATCTTCCTCCCCTCCTCCTGCCTCATCCTTGTCCTCCGCCCTTCCTCCTGGTTCTGCTCAGGCTGATTAAGAACTTCGATTTGACCGGCTTCCCCAGCTTTCTGCTCCACTGCATGTTACCCAAACTTCCCTGATCAAGGCAATTTGCCTGGGCATGGCTTTCAGATGGGCTGGTGGCGATACGCGAAGCGCCAACAATTACTCTGCAAAACAAATTCGACCCCCTGAGTGCAAGCGCCGTTTGGGGGAGACAAGCGGGCAGCCATGCGTAAAAGCGACTACCCAAAAATAAGACTACCAACAGATCACACGGCTACCAAACACATGAAATGGCTATCGAATCAGCGGCGCGTCTGAAGCGGGAGCGGTGACCTGCTTCCGCGTTGCCGCATCCCTGGCCCTTGGCGTCGGCAGCACCATCTGCGAGGCGGCCTCTGGCCACCAGGGCCCGGTCTTGGCATGAGATGCGTCGCACTCCGAGTGGAGGAGGGTCAACCACAGTACTTTGCCATTGCCGGGCCCTGGAGGAGACCTGAACAGGTGAGCGACGATCAGAAGAGGGGTCTTCCGCAAGATGGTATGGCGACCTTACTCGTGGCTTACGCGGGCCGCCAGCGCGGCACACTACACTGGAGACGAGGGCGCTTGCGCGCGAGCTTACGCGGGCAACTTGCGCGCCAATGTCGGCGCAGACGACCCAAACGTTTGCGTCGCTCGTGCCTCGAGGACTCTCGCGGCGCCCCCCGAGGCCGTCCCCGTACCGCCCCTCTCCCCCGAGGCCCTGCCTCTCCGCTCCGACCCCTCCGCTCCTCCCCCCGTCCCCTCTCCCCATGCTCTCCGCCCGTCCTCTCGCCCACCGCGCCCCACCCCTCCACTCCACAGCTCGGTCCTCTACTCCCCCCCTCCCCTCCCACCCCCACCCCCTTCCCCGTGCACCCCCTCCCCCGCCCCCTCCCTCCACGCCTCCCCCCTGCCCCCCCCTGCCCTCTCTAAAACAGGGCTAGGATCGGGATAAATCGCTCCAGAGCGTTCCAGAGCGCTCTCAGAGCGTTCCGGAACGCTCTGGAGCGGCCGCGGCGCCCAATACATCCTCCAAACCCGCCGACTCTCAGAGACTTCGAGTTATCCCGATCCGATTTTGCCCCGATCTTCGCGTCGTTTTACTCCCCCTTCTTGTGCCTCTCCCTCACCGGCCGAAGCTCCACTGTCCGCGTGCCGGCAGGGGAGCCCAGAATCGAATCGATAAGTCGGATCGGCGATCGAAACGAATCGGATCGGCGGAAATCGGCAGCCAAGTCGAGAAAAGTCGAATCGGCCGAAATCGGCAGAGCAGTAATGCCTCATTGAGAAATCGGAATCCCAATCGGAATCCAAAGTCGAATCGAATCGGAATCGGAATCCATCGAAATCGAATCGAATCGAATCGGAGGCATCGAAACGATCCCTGTGCCGGTCCCGCTGCCTGCGCCGCGGTGCGCCTCTTGGTCTCCTGGCGACTCCTCCGCGGGCGCCGCGCGTCGACCTCCGACGCTGCCGCTCCTCACCTCGGTGGAGCTGCCCTGCCGCGAGGTACCGGCGCCCTGGCCGCGGGCCAGTGGTGATTGGCTTGTTTTCCACCACCACCACCATAAGTTGGAGGAGGAGGAGGAGGAGGAGGAGGAGGAGGAGGAGGAGGAGGAGGAGGAGGAGGAGGACCCCCTCCCCCTCCAACTTATGGTGGTGGTGGTGGAAAACAGGCCCATCAAGTGGAGGAGCTTGCGGACCGCAGGGGCACGAGTCCCGTGGGAAGGGCCGACCGCCCAGCGAACTGCTCTCTTCAGCATCACCGGCCAGATCCCGTGGACGGGGTCGGGGCCACAGTATGAGCTCGACCACAAGAAGCCCTCCGCATTCCACAGCAAGACCATCGAATCCAAGAAACCCAGGGCACCCCAGAGGCAAGCAGAGGAGGTTCTTGGCATGGGTTTCCACTGTAAGGTAGCCTGAGTGCCAGCATTGTTTGGGAAAACAAGCGTGCATGGGAAACCTCGCGGCCTCCTGGCCCCCGTGGCCACCTGGGACCGCTTCACCTTCTCATGGAGGTGTACTGATGCACACTGTTTTTGACACTGCGTCTCCTGTGATGCATTACCGGGGCGTTTCGTGCCCGAACTTGCAGCTGCTACTCGAGGTCGTTGCTGACTCATCAAGGGCAGACTGGACCCTCTGGCAGGGCAGGCATGGGTTTCCGCTGTACCTCCGCGCTTCGCGAGACGCGAGGAGCTCCCGCGCCAACGCGCGCCGCCCCCCGGAGAACAGGCCCGCAGCTCTCAGGGCCCAGGGCCGCGCAGCGTGGTGACTCCTCGCCCCCCCCGCGGCTGGCCCCCGGAGGCACACCGACGCCATCAGCCTCGGTCAGCCGCGGGGGGAGGCCCTCGCGGTATGGTATGGCATCGCCAGCTGGGAGAGGCACGTCCAAGCTCTCCCGGGCGAGGCGAGGCGGCCCAATGGCCGCGCAGTGTGGTGCTTTCTCGCCCCGGCGGGTGCCTCCGGAGCGCACCGACACCACCAGCTTCGAGCCGGTCGCCATGGCTCGGGCGTCCCTGACACGGGCACGTTGTTCGGCTTCGTGCGCGCACTGTTCGCAGGATGACCCAAGAGGCTCCTCGAGGGCCCCGCCGAGGAAAGCTGCACGCGTCCGAGCGATTTGCCGGGCACGGGGGAGGAGGGAGTGGAGGATGAGGAGGAGGAGGAGGAGGAGGAGGAGGAGGAGGAGGAGGAGGACGAGGGGGAGGAGGAGGAGGGGGAGGAGAAGAAGGAGGAGGAGGAGGAGGAGGAGCAGGGGGAGGAGGAGGAGGAGGAGGAGGAGGAGGAGGAGGAGGAGGAGGAGGAGGAGGAGGAGGAGGAAGAGGAGTACTTGCGGTGCCTTGTCCAGATCCCCCACCGCCCAACCACCCCAGGGAGCTAGGTCCGTGGCGAGGAAGAGGAGGAGGAGGAGGGTCGGGATGAGGAGCGGGCGGAGAGTGACACGGAGAGGGTTGCGAGGGCTGTGAGGGCTGTCCCACGGAGGCCCTGTGTGGTCATGCTAGCTCCGATGCTGAGACGTATCGGGGGTGGGGGGGCGCTGCACCCACCATGGAGGGAATGAAATAAAGAAAGAAAACGAGCACCATGACCAAGACTGAACGCGGAAACGTCGGTGCAGACTTTTGGTCATCGCCGACTCGTGGATCATCCTCCCGAATCGGCGACTGCCAGCACGGACCATGACCAAGGTCGGCGCCGACAAGATCCCGCGGCATCTTATTGGTCATGATCATCGCGTGTCTTACCTCGGAACCAAGTCCGTTAGCTGCGCCCTCCCGCCAGGAGGGCGTGCGCGACTCTCCACCAGTGTCCCCTCCCCGGCTCCGAGCACCAACCTGGCCCTCCACACAACCTCCTCTGACTTACCCTCCCTCCCTCCGCGATCACATCGCCCTCCACCGTCCTTCCCCTCCCGCGCGCGAAGGGGGAGGGGGGGGAGGGAGAGGGAGGGGAGGCTAGGAGGACGATGAGCAGGAGGAGGAGGAAGAAGAGGTGGAGAAGGAAGAGGAGGATAATGAGGAGGAGGAGGAGTAGGAAGAGGATGATGATGATGATGATGATGATGAGGAGGAGGCTTCTGAAGAGAGGAGGAGGAGGAAGAGGATGAGGAGCAGGACGAGGAGGAGGAGCAGGAGGAGGAGAAGGATGGGAAGGAGGAGGAGGAGAAGGAGGAGGAGGACGAGTTGGAGAGGAGAAGTATAATGAGGAGGAGGAGGACGAGAAGGACGAGGACGAGGAGGAGGATGGAGGGAGGGAGGGAGGGCGGGAGGGAGGAAGGAGGAGCGAGAAGGGAGGGAGGGGGGAGGGAGGAAGGGAGGGAGGGAGGGAGGACGGAGAAGGAAGAAAAGGAGGAAGAGGCGGAAGAAGAGGGAGGAGAGTGGGGGGATAAGGGGGTGAGGAAGAGGCGGACGGAGGGGGGGGGGGGAATTGAGGGAGGGAGGGACAAGCTAGGTGAGCTAGCGCTTCATCTGACATCTGATGCCTCCCTCTCATCCCTCCCCATTGAGCTGAGTTGTCTCTACCCGCGGGCGCGTGTCATAGCCGACCTACAACTTGAGCCAAACGGCAGCACCGCACATCGTGTTGTGCGCAATATGAAAACAACGGGGAGCTGCGCACACAGGCGGGGGAGGAGGTGGCGGCTGGGTGGGCGGGATGACATGGACGAGGACGAACAGCCGCAGCGAGAACTGGAGTGGAGGGAGCGGGAGGAGCAGGCGGACCAGAGCAAGGCGGAGGATGGGGAAAGGAAGAGGGCGGCACCAAGGAAGAACGGCACGGATCCAGACACATGGGCCGCGCTGGGGCGAGGCGGCCATTCTGCACGACGGGCGCGAACGGCTGCTCCGAAAGGGAGGCCCACGCTGCAGCGGGAACACCATTTGCAAACACCACGAGCAATCGGAGTATTCCAACAAGAAGCCAGCACACCGACTCCATACACAGGTTCAGCCCTGTGTGAAAGACACCATGTGGAAGGGGCCCGCGACCGCCCAGACGGACGCAGGGCAACGCGGATATCTGTGGAGGGAGGCGGAGGACAAGGAGGAGGAGGAGGAGAAGGAGGAGGAGGAGGACGAGGAGGATACTAGGAATAATAACAAACTAATAATGATACTGATCCTGATAATAATGTTAATACTACAAATAATACTAATAATAATACTTAGAAGACCTGCAAGGGAGAAAAGAAGGGAGGAGGAGGAGGAGGACGAGGAGGAGGAGGAAGATCATGAGGGGGAGGAGGAGCAGGGGGAGGAGGAGAAGGGAGGAGTAGGAGTAGGAGTAGGAGTAGAGAGGGAGAGTGATGCGGCGGATGAGGAGAGAAGGAGGAGGAGGAGGAGGAGGAGGAGAACGAGGACGAGGAGTGATGCGGAGGAGGAGGAGGAGGAGGAGGAGGAGGAGGAGGAGGAGGAGGAGGAGGAGGAGGGAGGGAGGGAGGGAGGGAGGAGGGAAGAAGGGAAGGAGGGATGGAATTGGTGGTAGTTGTGGTGGTGGTTGTGGTGGTGGTGGTGGTGGTGGTGGATGTGGTGGTGGTGGTGGTGGTGGTGGTGGTGGTGGTGGTGGTGGTGGTGGTGGTGGTGGTGGTGGTGGTGGTGGTGGTGGTGGTGGTGGTGGTGTATTCATCGGGTGGGGCCGCGGGCACAACGCAGCCCCTTTAGCGGCACCTCTCACTCAAAGATGGCTGGGGGCAGCCCACCGCGTGTCGCGGGGGTCTGGTACAACAACATCACGGCGCCATTCGATCCGGGAGACTGGGGGGGGATCCCCCAGGGGGCACCCTCATCATCCCACCGCGACCCCAGAAGTCCCAGCAATACCAGTCCCCATACTCCCGAGGAGCGGGAGGGAGGGAGGGAGGGAGGGAGGGACAGAGGGGGGGAGGATGCTCGCTGCGTTGGGAGGATGCTCGCTGCTCAACGCTCTCCACTACGAGCAACGCCAACGGCGAGAATTCGTGCCTGCTTCTGGCGAGGAAGGGGGGGGGTGAGTGAGGGGAGGGAAGAGGAGGAAGAGAAGCGGTAGGGAGGAGGGAGGAGGGAGGGAGGAAGAGGAGGGAGGGAGGGAGGGAGAGAGGAGGAAGAGGGCGGAGGCAGGGGTGGAGGGAGAAGGACAAGGAGCGGGAGGGAGGGAGGAGAGAGAGAGGGAGGGAGGGAGGGAGGAGAAGGAGGAGGGAGGGAAGGGAGGATGGGAGGGAGGGAGGGAAGGGGAGGGGAGGAGGAGGGAGGGAGGAGGAGGAGGAGGAGAGGAGGAGGAGGTGGAGGAGGAGGAGGAGAAGAAGAAGAGGAGGCTGATGATGATGGATGATGATGATGATGATGATGATGATGATGATGATGATGATGATGAGATGAGGAGGAGGAGAGGAGGAGGAGGAGGAGGAGGAGGAGGAGGAACGGGAGGGAGGGAGGGAGGAGGGAAGAAGGGAGGAGGAGGGACGGAGGGAAGACGCCCACAGAGGGAAGGCCCAGGGGGGGAGAAGAAGAAAAAGGGGGGGGGTTGCCCATCGATGGGCAGAACTGGACGGGAGGGGGTGGGTGGGGGGGGGGGGGCAAGGGGACGGGGAGTGAGGTCAGGAAGCGAGGGAGGGTTGGAGGGAGGGCGAGGAAGGGAGGAGGGAGAGGTAGGGAGGGAGGGAGGGAGGAAGGGGGGGAGGGGGAGGGACTCTGAATATCCAGAACATCGACATGTGAGAGATACAGGGTTGTAGTAGCGATGTGAATTGATGATAGAGAGTAGTAGGGCAAGGGATGTGTACTGATAACATCCTGGCTCAAGGACTGAAAAGTCGAGTTTGGTAGCGCGACATATGCGATCCAACTTCAAGGTAAATCTTCCTCTTCCATATCCTGCCCGGCCAGCCATAGCGTACCTTGGTCTTGTCCCGCTCCTTGGGGCCTGGCTTTGGAGTCTTGCTAGCTGGAGCGACGGCGCAACTGAGTTCGTGGAGGCAGACGGCTGGGCCACTACGATCTACTCTCGTTCCGACGACTACTACAGCCAGAATATAGATCACAGCGCTCCAGTTTTGTATCCAGTCAACTACGACCTCTTCATCATGGACGGAGCCTCTGCAAATGTCAGTGGCCATGACAATTCGAGATTACCCCTGGACTCTTTCACGAGAAGCACTCCACCTGGATGGGTGACAGGAATCAAACGATACCCGATCAGAAAATATGCACAGCTCTTGAAGCTTTGGTGGCTCCAGACAGACCTACATGAAGAACAATGGGGCCCAGCAATATGTGGACGACTTCGAGGACAGGTCTTCCAATTTGCGATGAGTTTGCGAGCGCAACGATGGAGTTTGGCCACTGGACAGCAGATGATGATTGAAGCTCCAGAGCTCTTTGCAGAGCCTTCCAATGAAGCACAGCCGATTGGCATGACTATGATTCCAGAGCAGATCAGTGGCGCTAAGTTCTTGATACAACGGATCCTCGAAGAGTATACCACAGACAGACAGGATCTTCAATGGGAAGTTCTTACGGCTTTCTTCGAGCTCTTTCGAGGCAACAGCAAGTTCGGAGATTTCTTAGCATTATATGACTTGGCGCTCCCAGATGCTGAAGCACAATGTGGACTACAGACGAATGACATTGGCAAGACATACTTCCTTCTCAGAGGCGCTCAGTTTCGATCTGAGGCTCCGAGTCGACGGAGACCTCTCCAGGTACAATGATATTCGGCGCCTCTGTACACGAATGTTTGGAGACCATGACGCAGCAAAGTCTTCTACGTTGCACGACATGGCAGGAGTCTATCATGGCAGCTCGTGGCAGGACACATGGTATGGCGATTCTTACGATGAATCTGAATGGCAGTGGAATGAAGATGACGCTTGGCAGGAGGAAACCTACTGGGGCGACCAGGACTGGCAAGAAGGAGAACATGCATCGGATCAACCACATACACCACATCCTTCTTCAGAGACAGGCGAGTTCTGGGGCAAGGGCAATAACCAGCGTAAGGACGGCTGCACCAAGTGCGGGCCCAAGTGGCACTCAAGCTCAGATTGCCTATTGCCTGGAGGTTCTCCTACGAGTCATGATCATCAGGGCTCCTCAGGTAAAGGTAAAAGCAGCAGTAAAGGCAAAGGTAAAGGTAAGTACATGACGAACTACGGCAACAGTGGCAGCAGAAAAGGCAGCTATCGGAAAGGCAAAAGCAAAGGGAAATCGTCAAGCTCAAAAGGTTACCGCAAAGGCAAGAACAACTCAAAATGCTTTCGTAGTGGACGAAGCAAAGGCAAAGGCTATCGTTATCGCAGTGGTGGCACGTTTCTTCTCGAAGATGGCCCAGCGGATGTGGACCATGAATATCACTACGACGAGGACGATGGCGACATCACTTCTTGGTATCAAGGCGATGGAGTCTATGGTATGTGCCAGCAGTCCACTGGAGACACCTGGTATGAGTACAGCGACGGCTCACCAGCTCAGCACCCTTCTACGAATGGGGCCTGGGCAGCATTTGAGACAACCGATGGCTGGGAAACCATCGGCACAAGCAGTGGAGAGCCAGCTGCACCACAGAACACTCCCCAGCAGTCTGGGCAAGGTCTGGTGCCTCCTGACTATCTGTCACCTGCAAGAAGTTCAGCACCAGTGACAGCAGCAGCCTCATCCTCAACACCTGGATCAGCGAGCACAGTATCCCGATTACTTCCAGAATTCAACTTCGACAGCCTGCTGGCACGCCGCCAGCGCATGCAAGATCTTGGCATCGATGACCCGGACGACCTGGAGGCCCCGGATTCCAGACCGTCAACGGCAGCATCAACACGTACAACACGGGCTGGAAGTGCTTTGGCACGTACGGCCTTATTCACAGCGACTTTGTTTTCGGTCTTTGCATCCCACGAACAGGTGATGATACCCGAGAGCCGTATGATACCACATCATTGGCCGACCAAGCCGAGAGTCACGGACACGATGGCCAGCTTAAACTTCCACATGGTCCGTGGACGACCAGTCCATGGCATGCTCGTCGACACGGGGGCGGCCAAGGCTATCATGGGCACGGACACTATGAAGGAATACATCACCGACATTCTGTCTAAGTATGGCAAAGTGATCGAGGTCAAGCCTTCGGATAGCCGTTTCACTGGAATCGGCGGCCGCCAGGAGAAAAGCAAAGGTCTGGCTGAGACACCTCTTGGCATTCCAATTCCTGGCGTTGCCGAGGTCACGATTGATTTGGACTTGCTTGGTGATCTGGGCTCGAAGTGCCCAGGACTTCTTCCACTCAGCGTTTTGCTTCGACTCCAGTCATCAATCCTGTGTGGGGCATTGCAAGGAGGCGACGGCATCATGATTATCAAAGTTGTGGGCTCTGGAGGCCCTCATACGACAGCAATCCCTCAGACTTTCTTCATCAGGCTGTATCTGACAGACTCATGTCACTACTTGCTTCCGACAGGCGACTTCAAGCAGGCATCGTGGTCAGATCAGAAGAAGCTGAGGAAAACCGTAGTGCAGTACTTCAACGAGGTCATGCGCACTTCGACCAATAGTCATCACAAGAAGCGGAAAGGCTCTGTTGGCATGGACGCTGGCTCCCTGACGTTAGCCGTACGAACGTCAGGCATAGAGGGTGAAAGTGGCCCTGAGAACTCTTCAGACATCGACGAGGAGATCACAACTACAGGATTGCACAATATCAACATCGCACGGCAACTGGCACCAGTACCAGTTCATGAGCCTCCGGTCATGCCAACAACGACGACCTCGTCAGCACAGATGGCAGCTTTGGCACTACCGACATCACCGACGAGAGCAATACCGACAACAGCAGAAAGCAACATATCACCTCCGATGCACAAAGTCATGCAAGCAGTACCAGTACCTCCTCAAGATCAACGCTCTATCTGGAATGAAATACCTCAGAAGAATTTCTACAAGGCATGGATGGAGTTTCCTGGCCAGAGATACCCTGGTGGCATCTGGCCTCAACACTGGAACTCAAAGCGGAAGACAGATGCTGAGAGATACTACACTTGCATGCCAGAAGAATTCTACAATGGCAGTTCTCTTCCAGTGGTAACACCACTGAATGCACTTCTATGGCTTTACCATGTCATGCCAGTCATGGAGGTCAACGATCTAGGTCACAAATTGGACATTCAGGAGTTTTGCTCAGGGTCTTCAAGGCTTTCACTGGCAGCTCTTCACCTGCAACTCAATGCAGGCTTTCCAGTTGACCATCGGTATGGCTGGGACACGGGCCTACGAGATCATCAACACATCCTGGATGAAGTATATGACAAGCTGGGGATCTCAGTGCAGTTCTTTTCTCCAAGGTGCTCTCCCTGGTCAAAGGCCAACACTACGTCCAAGGCAGAAACAAAAGCACGAGCACGACAAGAAGAACGAGCAGGCCTTCAATGGAAGACAGACCGCTGCAAAACCAGTTCTTGATTCTAAGCAGAAAACACAGGCCTATATTCTGGAGACACCTCATGGGTCACAGCTACTTACTGAAAGCCCGTTCTCATGCATTCATAGCGACAAGCGGACAACCTCGGCAGTACTTGATCAGTGTCAACATGGAGCCAAAGATATGGACAGCCGAGGTTTGCCCAACAAAAAGACGACTATCCTGGACTACGCGAACATAGAGATCAGCCAGTCCACCCTACTACGATGTACTGGCGAAAACAAGTGCCCCCTTCATGGAGAATTGTCGAGGAAAGTACCAGGCACCAGCGCCTGGAGGACTTCTATGGCAGCAGTATATCCGTGGAATCTTTGCACATCAATTGGCGCAGACATATGGCAGTTTACTCATGGCAAGGAAGATGGTCTATCGTTGATGGTTTTCTGGACTTGTGAACGGTGCAAACATGGAGCTCGCTATCCTGGCGCTGATATGAGAGTTACGCTGGTCCACACTCGGACAGAGGGCTGCAGGTTTAAAGATGCCGAAGCACCAAACCGAGCAATAGTTGGACGGCCTCCAATACCAGGACCAGCTCAAGCTCCAGTACCAGCACCTCTCCCTCCAGACGCACCTGCTCAGCCAGCCGAGGCAATGCCACTACCGCTGAAGAGCGCCTGGGGTGCTGATGTACCTATTGCACGGGTACCTCCACCACCAGCGCCAGTACCAGCAGAACAGGTAGCTTCTAGAGATAGCGGTTCGGCACAGGTAGCACCTCCTGAGCCCGATCAAGCACCGCCTGCGGCACCCGCTGAATCACTCGACGACAAACCCATTGAGGGCATGCCTCAGGTTGCCGACCTTCCCGACTACATCGAGCCATCCTTCAACGTCAGGATGCTCAGGCGGAAGCTCGAGGATCCTAAGGTCACGACGAAGGAGGCCCAGAAGCTACTGATGGGATTACACTACAAGATGTGGCATCTTCCGGCTAGCGAGATGGTTATCTTCTTGGGGCGTGGCAAGTTCTCAAAGCATGTTATTGACTTAATACCAACAACGATAGCCAAGTGCAAGATCTGCGCAGGATGGAGAAGGACATTGACAAAGCCGAAGTCAGCAGGTACCATCCTGGCTGCACACTTCAATCATCGAGTACAAACAGACCTCTTCACGCTCTGGGGTCGTACGTGCGTCATCTTTGTGGATGAAGCTATTCACTGGGCATGCTGCGAACACTTGATCACCAAGGATGCTGAGACATGGCGCCAAGTTTTCCTGAGATGTTGGGCACGCTACTTTGGACCACCAAAAGTTATTGTGTCCGACCAAGAGGGCGCAGTGATCAGTGACGTCATCGGCAAAGCATGCGAGGCTTACGACATCGAGCGCGACCTTCAGGGATCGGAAGGACATACAAGAACTGGCTTGGCCGAAAGGCGGCTCGGCCTCATCAAGCTTGCGGCTCTCAAGCTCTACTCACAGGTTCAAAAGCAGGGCGTCCGCAAGAGTCAGGACGACTGTGTGTTAGAGGCGAGCCTGTGCTCCAACTCGGTTCTGGTTTACGGGAGTTCGACGCCGAATCAAGCCCTCCTGGGCTACGAGCCTCGCGACTTCTACCATCACGACAACACGACGATCTCGGCGACAAACGATGCGAGGGCTGCACTTCCAGACTCGATTGAGTCCCAGATCCGCCTAAGGCCACATGCTAAGGAGGCCATCATCCAGGCAGTCATCGAGCATCGCATCGCGGAAGCGGCCAACACCAAGCCGCAGCAGTATGCGCCGGAGACTCTCAAGAAGATCGAGGAGCCAGAGGCGAAAGTGGACCTATGGAGGGAACCAACCTCCAAGGATCAGAGTGGATGGCGTGGCCCAGCGGAGATGGTCAAGTGCATCAGTAAGGAGAACAAGGCGATCATCATCTGGCGGGGCCATCCGATGTTAGTTCCACTTCGACACGTTCGGCCTCACATAGGTTTCGTGTGGCTTACACAGATCAGCACCACAACGAACGACACCAGCAAGCAGCTCATTGCCTCGCTCATGGACCAGGTCGAGGATCACGTTCTTGGGCAGGTCTACACTTATGGCAGACAGTGGGACCAGCAGTCACAACAATACAACAACGTTCCAGAGGACCTGGAGGAGCGACCTCCTCGCATTCTGGCAGACGCACGTCAGGCAGCTCAAGACCTCCTCAACTTGAGCATCGATGGAGTCCAGTTCGGCTACGGTGTGAGACGCACCGAGCCCCTGACCAACGTGGGCTACGGGCGTCTCATGCAGTGGACACAACAACTGCGAGACCAGTACACGATTGCCGACATCAGGCCAGGCAACAAAGTATCACTGGCTTCGAGAGGCAGTCATTCGGACAAGTGTTTCCTGGTGGCATATCAGATTGCGGCGCCAGACTATTTCAGGGATGATACAGCTCTCCCTGATTTAAGCCCGATGTGGAGCCCATCGACGATTCCGTGGACTCCAGCACCGTTTGACGACGACAGCGTGATCTACATTCCAAGTCCGCCGCCACGGATTCCACCAGCGGCGCCTCCAGCTCCACCGCAGCCGCCTCAACATCCACCAGCAGGACCAGGAACTGGACGACACTACGATATCATCACCATCATTGACATATAGTCCTGACCAGAGTATGAAGCAGCAGGCACCGACTCCGCCTCCTGCACCTCCTCCTGGACCTCCTCAGGCTCCAGCAGTGAAGATCATGAAATCGAGATCTCCTGGACTAGACAGATCGCGATCGAGAATGGAGCAGAGTTAGATATCCCCACCTACCTTCAAAGATGTGTCTATATCACAACCATCAGTTCGACCACCAGACGATCCGCCAGAACCAGGAGCAGCACAAGTCAAAGCGGCATCTTCACCAGAGTTCGATAGATCGAGATCACGAGCTTATGGGCTTCCACCAGAGTTTCCTCAACATCCAAGTCCGCCTCCAGCGAAGATGCCGATCTCGGAGAGTCCGATGCCAGAGGTGCAGATGGACTCAGCTCCAACAACTACATCATCGAGTTCAGCGGCGTCGACAGCAGACAGGTCGAGATCAAGGGTTATTGAACGTCAGACGGCATTTCCCTGGCCAGCACCACCTCAGACCATAGAGAAACCAGAATCTCCAGCAACTCCAGCGGCGTCAAAGTTCAAGTCACCTGAGAGCGTATCAAGTACCAGGTCGAGGACGCGTGCTGAGATCAAGCGGGTGGAAATCGACGACGTTCCTGAAAAGAAACTCTTCCATCCAGAATCACCTGTGGCAGACCCAGGGCAGTCGAGTGGTGAGCCTCGTGATCAGCGACCAGCGTTACCATTGTCACACCCGCCTCCGACCCCGGTGGAACATCAAGACGATCAACGGGCACGCACTGGACCATCGCCATCATCATCGAGCTTACCATTGGAACTGGCTGAACCATCCGAACCAGTATCAGCAACAGATGCAGCAGCAGAAACAACACTGGAGTATCCGCCTGAATCATTGGAACAGACGCTTGAATACCCAGATGAAGCAGCTGATCAGACACTCGAGTATCCAGAAGGAGCAGCTGACGAGACCATCGAATATCCAGAAGAAGAAGAAGACTCCCTCTTTTCGGTGGCACCTCCATCATGGTATCAGTACTGTGTGAAAACGTCCAAGATCAGTGAGATGCAGGATACCTCTCCTTTTGATGATTTCGACCCTATGACACACGCAGCAGAAGACGCGGGCAGGGTTCAGAACTGGCTTGCCGCCACCAGAGCAGACAGCACGGCATGGACGGCACAAGAATCATTCTTAGTTATTCCAGGACCCTGGCAGAAAGAGACTTGCTTTTGGTACGATATTCTTGCAAATGAGTGCTTCTCCGTGACCCAAGAGGATTTCTTGATGGAGGACGATGTCATCAGGTACTGGGAGCATGTTGAAAGAGGAGATCGAAAGGAGACTACATCCTTTGTATCTCATGATGTGTTTACTCTGGATCTGGCGAGTTGCAGTACCAACACCATCGACGCAGTATGGGTACGCAAGTGGAAAACGAGACACCCACCAGAAGTCAAGTCACGCATGTGTGGACGCGGCTTCATGGACGTACAGCGTAAACGAGTACACCGACATTCATCAACGGCATCAGCACTGTCACACAGGTTGGCCATTACTCTTGGGGCTCAGTACTATTGGGACTGTGAAGCTTTCGACGTTTCAACAGCCTTCTTGCAGGGCCTACGCTTCCAGGAGATTGAGGCAAGGGCCAAGGAGCTCGGACACGAGTGCAAGAAAGTCAGACAAGTATGGCTACAACCTCCGGCCAAT